CCGGCGTGAGTTTTAAGCCACCGGGTCTGGGATGCGAACCGTGGTTGACTACGTGGGAGTCCAGCAACATAGCCATTACGCTAGCTGCTGGTTCCCTGGCATGATTTTTTAAGTCACTAGGTCCGGGACTTGAACCGCTGTCAACTGTGGGAGTTTAGTGATGTAACCATTTCAACATCTGCTGGTTTCTCCATGGTTACTTCTTTTTTTTTTTCCCCCCCGAGAGGTTTTTGCTATAGGGTGTGTGAGCTCGTCAGAAAGACAGAGAGAGACAGAGAGACAAAATGCGAGAAATCACCCCCCAGGGGGGATGGCCATGCTACAACCCCTTCTCCTCCATTCTCTTCTTGGGATCTTGGGCACGCACGCACACGTGCCCAGCGTGTTTTAAGCCACCAGGTCCGGGACACGAACTGCGGTCGACTACGTGGGAGTCCAGTGACATAGCCATTATGCTATCTGCTGGTCCCTTCCCATGGTTACTTCTGATTGCAAGTTAATGAGTGTTCGCTGGGAGCATCTGAGGTGTGGAGGTTTTCTTGCAGCCCTCAAGGGGCCTCAAACCAGGCAGCAGCTTCTGTTTCTGCAAGTGACAGTTTGCTTGTTTGAGCTCTTCAGGGAGCACGTCTCTTCTCCCTTCGTTAATGGTAGAGAGCACGTGTGCATGAATGAGCAAGCCACGTGCCCCCGACGGGCCCAGCCCCTTCTCATTAGCCGTCCTGCTCATTGAGGTCTTGGGCACATGCACACGTGCCCAGCTTGTTTTCAGGACAAACAGGGATGGAAACCCAGGACCGGCCATATGACTTCCAGCCTTGCAGGGCCCTTGCGTTACCGTTGTGCCATAGGGGCTAGGCCTGGAGAGCAAATCTTTTATGCATTCTGGAACATTCCAAACGGTATCCTAGCATTAGTTTAGCATGGGTCCAGTTCTCTGGAAAAAAAAATTAAGATTTCTGCCTTTGGTCATGTGTGCTCACTGGAGAGAGACAGAGACAGGGAGAAGCCAAATGAGAAATCTCCCCCTATGGGGGATGGCCATGCTGCAGTTCCTTCTCTATTCTTCTCCAGGGATTTTGGGCACACACACACACTTGCGACATGTGAGTTTCAAGCCGCTGGGTCCGGCTCTTGAACCATCTTCACCCATACGGGAGTCCCATGCCTTAACCATCACACCACCTGCTGGCCCTGGTTCTCTGAATTTAAGACCGTATAGCAAGATGTATCTTATTAAAACCCAGAATCAGAGGCCAACAGCACTGCAGTGGTAAAGCGTCATGCTCTGTGAGGCTGACTCACCTGGGAAGGAAGGCTCCCAGCTCACGTCTGGAGACCTCCCTGAGTGCATGGGACACACACGTGCTCACCATCCAGGCTGGCTGGGGCTGGAAGAGCATCGTGGCTTCAGGGCATAGTTGGGGGTGCTGTATCTCTCTGTTTCTTCCAGTTAGGCAACAAACAGAAAAACAGAAGCGAAACCGTTGCAATGATATTTTTACAGTAACGAGCGTGTTTGTTTTTCTGTTTAATCTTACAGGCAACATTCTTGTTCCAGCTGCAGACAAGATATTTACAAAGTCAGGTACAGCTCCCTTCTATGCTTTAACTCTGTAATCCTGGGAACGTATTGTAAATATTCTTAGAGAAGTTCCTATAACAGTAACTTGCTTTTCTCCCCCGTATAACTCCACCCCACAGTTCTTCATCTGGGAGACGTGGGGCCTTGTAGGCCGATACCGTCCAGCCCAGCAGAGACACGCGAATCAATCTGTCTGATTCTCTGCAGCCCCCACACCCCGTCACTCACCTTGCGGGGGACCAGCTGTAGTGCTTCTGTGTTGGGAGTGGCCTGAACGTGGATGGAGCCCGCACTAGGCCCACTGTGCCTGTAGACACTGGGGTTTGGGGGCAGGAGGCGGGGCAGGGGCTGGAGGTGAGGGTGGTGGGAAGACACTCAGCGTCACTTCCGACACCTCCCAGGCCAAGCAGCCTGTGGCTTGGAAACGCCAAGGCATTGCCGCTGAAGCCAGGTGGATTCCATTCTGCCTCGACAGCAGTCTCTGTTTAAATCTCCGGGGACAAGGTAGACGTCTTACATAAGAAAATGTTTATCCGAGTCCTGAGGGCAGTGGGGACAAAAGAAATGGGTGGCTGTCCCCGTAGCGCAGAGGGCGAACGTCTGCACCCCTGCCGGCATCGCTGGGTGTTTGGATGCGACAGCTGAGCGAACCTCACACCGCCCAGTCCGCGTGGCTCTGTCTGTCCCCTCACTCACGCCAGGCTCCTGGCTTCTGCAGCTTTCCCCTCTCCTCTCCCTCCTGCTGGCGTAGGGTTGTCCAGAAGTATCTGAGACTTCTGGGGACCAGCAGGGGATGCCATAGCTATGTTGCTGGACTCCCACGTGGTCAACCACGGTTTGAGTCCTGGACCCAGTGGCTTAAAATTCACACCAGGCACGCGTGTGTGTGTGTTCCCAGGATCCTGAGAGGAAAATAGGGGAGAAGGGATTGTGATGTGGCCATTCCTGCCGGGGGGGTGACTTCTCACTTTGTGTCTCTGTTGCTCTCTGCATCTCTGGCGAGTGCACACACCCTATAGGAAAATCCTCTCTTTTTGGGGGGTGGGGAGGGAGAGGTTTTTGCTATAGGGCTCGTGAGCTCGCCAGAAAGACAGAGAGAGACAGGAAGTGAGAAATCACCCCCCAGGGGTCCGGTTGACTACACAGTGGCTGGGGTGCTGGCCAACTGCGGTTCGCGGCCCAGACCTGGCAGCTTGAAACTCATGGTGTGTGTGTGCATACGTGCCCAGAACCGTGAGAGGAGGGTGGAGAAGGGACTGTGCCTGGAGGGTTATTTCTCACTTTCCCTCCGTCTCTCCCCAGCGAAAGCACGCCCCCTGTGGCAAAAACCTAAACAAGCACACAAACAGCAACAACAAAATAATCGCTTTATCTGAACGCTCACTCTGTGGCCTAGCTGATCAGCCTGGGGAAGTGCTAATGTTTTCCTGTCTGTTTGGGACTCCAGGGTATCATCATGCCCCAGGTCATCACCGGAATGGTGGCGAATGTGATCAACGTGGGCATGAATGCCTTCTTGCTGTTCCCCTTGGGTCTTGGCGTTGTGTAAGTAGCCACCCACTTGCTCAGTGGTGCTCCATGGGGGGGTGCAGGACGCGGAGCGGTCAGTAGAGGGAGCTGTAAGCAGGCGCTGCAGTTGAGTGCTCCTGGCTCTGCAGGACAGGTGGGAGCCCCGGGGGCTGAGGAGGGGAGGCGGGCCAGGAAGTGCAGAGTCAGGATGGTGCTGTGTGAGCTGATTCCTGCACGTCACGTGGGAGGGAGTCGCTGCGGTCTCTGTGACCCCACCTGGAGGGACTCCCCCAGCCTCCGTGATAGAGAAATCCAGCTGATTCAATCTGGAGAAGCTGGAGAGCCGGGGCCCCAAGGAAAGCACTGTCAGCCCCACATCCCTCCTAGGCCTCCCCTCACCAGGGCGCCTCCCGTAGTCAGCCCAGCCAGCCTCCTCACGTGTGGCCAGAGTGGTCACACCAGCGCACGCACACTGGGCCTGATCATTTGGGGTGCTTTAGGGCAGTGTGTTTCTTTACAAGTGAAAATCGGCTTAGTGGATTGTGATCAGGCCTTGAGACAAATGAAATGCATTACGGATCAAATGGAGAAAAGTAGAACGGAAAGTATGAGGCGCATCGGCTATTACAGGGTGTTTTCATTCTTTGTTTCAGGGATTTATGGGTTCGCTTGCATGCATATATTAACAGGAATGCATGTAACAGTGTGGCACTGGAGGGGCCAGCAGATGGCATAATCGCTAGGGCACTGGACTGCTACATGGCCGACCATGGTTCAAATCCCGGACCCAGCGGCCTGAGACTCACTCTGGTTACGTGTGTGTGTGCCCAAAATTCCAGGAGAAGAATGGAGGAGCAGGGATTGCAGCACGGCCATCCCCCCGAGGGGTGATTTTTCATTTTTCCTCTCACTGTCTCTCTCTCTCTATCTTTCCAATGAATGCATGTACCCTATGACAAAAACAAAAAACAAAACAAAACGAAAAAACTAATGTGGGCATGGTACAGTTGATAGAAAACGCATTTATCACTGTCCGAGGCATTCATTCAAGAGCGGAGAACTGGGATGTAAGAACACAGCAAACAACTGTTTGTGACATCTTCCGTACTACACGAGAGCTGAAAGAGGCCTCGACGGTGGTGAGGGCCGGCTGGGGCCGCAGGTCGGCGTGGGGACCCTGTCCTGTCACTCAGAAATCCCCGCGGAAGTCATCTGTGATGCCAGGATGCCGGGGACAGTCCCCTACCAATGAGCAAGCAGCAGACACAGCTGGGCAGCCTCTAATGGAACCCAGTCCTGGCTCTGTCCTCTGGGGACATTGTCAGACCAGGCTGAGGCTCAGTCCCCTAGACTGCTCCCCGCTTCCTGCAACAAGTTCAGGTCTCCAGAACTTCTGACCCACCAGCTAGAAACTGGGGTTCCTGTGACCCCCTCTCCTCTTTGGGTTTGATTAATTTGCTGGAGGGAAACACTGACTTCTGTTGACTGCTAGGTTACCGGTTATTACAAAGGACCCAGGTGAAGAGGTGCGTAGGCAGGGCAGGGAGGAGCGTGGCGCCCCCGTGCCCTCTCAGGGCGCCTCCCTCCAGGAACCTCCACCCGCTCAAGTGTCTGGAGCTCTGCCGCCCTGCCCTTTTGGGTTTCGATGATGACTTTGTTGTGTAGACACGAGATGGGCTGGGCTGGGACCCAGCAAGGCCTATCCGTGGGCATCCCTCCCTGCCGACACCCCCGTGTGAGACAGGACTGTCGAGAATGAGGTGTTTTTTTTTTTTTTTTTTTTTTATAGGGCACGTGTGCTCACCAGAGAGACAGAAAGCAAGAAGTCATCCCCCGGGGGGGATGACTATGCTGTAATCCCTTCTCCTCCATTCTCCTCTTAGAATCCTGGGCACACACGCACACACGCTTGGTGTGAACTTAAGCCACTGGGTCCAGGGTTCGAACCGTGGTTGACTACATGGGAGTTCAGTGACATAGTCATAATACTAACTGCTGGTCCCTAGAATGAGGGTCTTAAAGGCCCGGGAAGACTGAAGTTCCTATGTGCTGCCGTGAGTCTGGAGTAAGGAGGGAGAAGAGGTCAGACTGTCATCTCTTGGAATTTGTTCTAAAGCTGCTTCAGGGACCACAGACAAAAGACCAAATACTTATGAGTCAGGAATCATGGGAAAAAAAACATATTTTTATATATAAAATCAAATCCTAATAGGGGCCAGCAGATGGTGTGGTGGTTGAGGTGCTGGACTCCCACCTGGCCAACTCTAGTTCGAGTCCCACACCTGGCGACTTGCTTGCTCACTTTGTTTTTCCCTCTCTCTGGTGAGTGTACATTGCCCTGCATATTAGAAATAAAATAATAATAACAATAATTAAAATCATAGCCACACCCACATCTGAGCAGACAGCCAGGTTCCCTGTGAGGTGCACCTCAGAGACCTGTGAGGGACTTCCTGGTCACGTGTATTCAGGACAGTTTGGGGGTGGGAAAGAGAAGAAGATATAGGGACAGATGAATCAGTGACAAAATGTGACATTGGACAGAAGACTGAAATGGCAGCAGTGCTGGCTCCCTGTGCCAGGATGGGACATCATGTTATCTGTAGTGATGAAATGTCACCGGTGAGGATGTGCTAAGGTGATGTATTTACTAAGAGAAAACAAACTTACGATCCTGGCAAATAAAACTGCTGTGGCCAAGACCAGTATTTTGACCCTAGGAGTCGTTAGGCCTGTCCTTTTTACCTGATGTTTAAGAAGCTGGGACCAACAGTTAGCCTAATGGCTATGTCGCTGGACTACCATGTAGTCGACGGGGGGTCGAGTCCCGGACCCGGTGGCTTAAACTCACACCAGGCGCGTGTGCATGTGTGCCCAAGATCTCGAGAGGAGAATGGAGGAGAAGGGATTGCGGCGTGGCCATCCCCCCTGGGGGGTGATTTCTATCTCTCTGTCTCTCTCTGTCTTTCTGGCGAGCGCACACGCCCTATAGCAAAAATCTCTCCAAAAAAAAAAAAAAGTTACCTGGTGAGGTATTCAGGGCAGTGGGGACAAGGAGGGTGACATAGCTGTGCCCTTTTATTTCTCCATTGATAGATAGTATGACTTGTTGACAAAATTCCATCTTTGTTCTCTTCCAGTTTTTGCCATAGGTGCCAGAGAGAAACAGAGAGAGGGAAAATAAGAAATCACACCCCACATTCCATGAAATCCTAGAAGAAAACTTTCCAAACCTAGAGAGGCACTTGAATATCCAGCCCAAGAAATCCAAAGGACTCCACATAGAATCAGCCCAAGAAGATCTTTCCTGAGGCCCATCATAGCCAGATTGACCAAACACAGACAGAGACAAGATATGAAAATTGGCAAGAAAGAAACGGCAAGTTACTTTCAAAGGATATCCCATCAGGCTAATGTTGGACCTCTCATCGGAAACAATGCGAGCAAGGAAAGAATGGGAAAATACATTCAAAGTGTTAAGTGAAAAACAATTTCAACCAAGAACACTACACCCAGCAAGATTATCTATCATATGGGAAAAAAAAGACAAAAACATTCTCAGAAAAACAAAACCTGAAAGAATTTACCAAGACCAGACCAGCTCTCCAAGAAGCACTGAAGGGAGTGCTATACCAGGAAAACTGAAGTCGGACACACAGAGATAAGAGTACAAGAGACAACCAAGAGAAGGGCCAGTCTAATGGTGGGGACAAGTCCGGAGTTGGGTGTTAACTTCCAGAGTTTAAATGGAAGGATCAGAGCACAGTGACACTGCCAATTCAGTAGGAGAGAGATTAATTACGTGAGTCTGAAGTAGTGAAATAGAAATTTTTTACTTTAGACTAAAACATTACTGATTTTCTTCGATACTTTGATTTCCATATTTAAGGATTTTCGTCTTCTCTTGAACTGTTGATAGATTCATCTACCTACTATTTGAATTGAATCCTAGTCTTTTCCCTGGCTTTAAGTTTTAAGCAAATTTCTCTTAACACTTTTGATTTTGCTCTATTAAAACTAAAACTTTTCAGGAACCAGCAGTTAGCGTAATGGCTGTGTCGCTGGACTCCCACATAGTTGACCATGGTTCGCGTCCCAGACCCGGTGGCTTAAAACTCAC